GTGTGTTTTATTGTTGTAATATTTGCTAAAACCTTACGTTTATGTAAGTTACATCCAGAGAACCTGACCTAACTGTTAGATTTTTCTATCTGGATTATTGAGCATGCATCAGGATACTTGTGTGTATGTGGTTAACTTCACAGTCAATGACAGTTTTAAAAATATCAAGATGTTGGTGGAAAATTTAGATAATAAGTTATGTTTTAATCATCCAGTACTTACATACATACTTACAGTACGTAGTTCCCACACACTCAACAGGTATTGCACAATACACTTTGTCAGCATTGTAGTAGGCGAGCCCCAGACAAAGATCACGAGGCTTCAGACAGACCAGTGAACTGTAGTGATACTTGAACATGCAGAGCATGCTGCTGTCAGAAGTGACCAGTAGAGAAAGATGAGGACAAGTTGCCACCGATCTACTATCATATAGATACTTAGAGAACATGGAGTGTGCCTACACAACGGAGGAGCTTCTCAGCTTGAGCTCCAACAATAAACTAAACAAATTAAAAAGGTAACAGATCATTGTAAACTTTATGATTTTAATGGCTGGATGTGCAGCCCCCTGAGCAGTTTAGTTGAACAGCCCTGGTGTAGTGACTGTTCTTATGCAGCACAAAGACAACATGCAGTCTGTTGTGTTCAGAGCTGCAGGTGAACTACAGGAACAACACACACACATCAACATCGAGGGTACTAAGGTGGACACTGTGGACTGCTACAAGTACCTGGTGGGTCCACCAGGACAATAAACTGGACTGGACAGCTGACACCAACGGCCTCTACAAGAACGGGCAGAGTCGCCTTTTTCTCCTGAGGAGACTCAGGTCCTTTAATGTCTGCAGGACCAAGCTGCATCTTCTTCTACGCTGTGGTGTGCTGGGCCAGCAGGGTGAAGACAGCTGGTGCCAACAGACTCAATAATCTCACCAGGAGAGCTGGTTCAGTTCTGGGAGTGGACCTGCAGTCTCTGACAGATGAGTCTGAGCAGAGGACGCTGAGGAACCTGCTCCAGATCCTGAACAACACGTCACCCCCCCTGCAGGACACCTGGACTCTGACCACAGCACCTTCAGTCCTAGACTGAGACCACCGAGGTGCTCCACAGAACACAGGAAGTCCTTCATCCCTGTAGATGTCAAACTTTTTAACTCCTCTCACTTTCTGCATACAGGACAATAACATTAATCCTGCACCACAATAAACACGTTAATGTTTCTGTCTGCACCTGTTTATAACTTAATTGTTGGTATTTTTTATTCTCTGTTATTTTTATATCTTGTGATTCTTTGTTCCTTTGTACTGAAACTATGGCACAACAATTTCCTGCAGGATCAATAAAGTTCTTTCTTATCTTTTCTTCATCGGGGTCCTGGGCCAGGATTTGTGCCGGCAACCTTCTCGCTGAGAGGTGGCAGCTCTAATAACTGTGCCACTGTGCTGCTCTTATTTATGTGTTTATTTATTTATTATTAATTGTTGACACATTTGTTTGTAAATGCTTTAATCACTTTAGAGAGGTGCACATTAGAGAATCATTTTAAAATAATAAGATATATCCTTTAGCCATGTTTCTTGAAAAAATGTTTAAATTTGACGTTGATTGGTGCGTCTTTTGAAAATCAGAATGAATCTGTCAAGCATT